GATATGGGGGTAAAAAGCGGGGTGTAAGAGAGGCGAGGTAGCTCACTGGGTAAAGGGCCTTGCTGCCATGCCTGTTGGAAAGAGAATCTACTCCCCAAGTTGTCCTGTGATCTCCACATGTGTGGTATGCCCACACACACGTACATACTCATGAAATAGATAAACACAATGAACAAATAAGAACGTTAAAAGAAAAAAGTAAACAGAAGGTTTTGATGTGGTAGCTCCCACCTGGAATTTAACGTTCAGTGGATGGAGGCAGGAGAATTGTCAGGAATTTGAGGCCAGTCTGGGCAGAGACAGTAAGTTCCAGTCTAGCCTGGGCTAAAGTGAGAAGGAAAAACAGGGCCGGGAATGATGGCTCAGCCATTAAGCGCACTGGCTTCTCTTTCAGAGGACTTAGGTTTTGCTCTCGGCACCCACATGGTGGCTCACAAGCATCTATAACTCCAGTTCCTGTAGATCCTACCCTCTTCTGGCCTCCATAGGCAGCAGCCACCCATGTGGTACACAAAACACATGCAGGTGAAACATCCATACACATAAACATTTAAAAATTATTTTGTTAAAAGGGGAAATCAATGCTGGGCATAGTGGTGCAGGACTTCAATCTCAGCACTAGAGCAGAGGCAGGTGGATCTCTGAGTTCGGAGGCTACCTTGGTCTACAGAGCGAGTTCCAGGCTAGCCAGGACAATACAGGGATACTCTGCCTCAAAAAACAAATAAAAAACAAAAAAATAAAAACAAAAACAAAATAAAATGGGAGAGGAACACAGCCACTCATGGAGGCCAACCCTCAGTCATTAGTGAGATCACCACCTGAGCCACTTGGCGGCGCTCGATGGGCAGATAACGATGGGGACATCCCTGAGTCTACCTTAAGCTGGGCTTTGGACGTGTGGTAGGGAATTTCTGTATCTCTCAAGGTCTGTCTGGCGGGAGGTGGCCCCAAGCACGGGTAGCTCCTCCCCGCTCGTTTGCAAGGTCCCCGAAGTCCTACACACCTCCGATGCCATGTTGGGCGTTTCCTCCTTCTTCTGGAGCTTCGGTCCTACGGATCTGAAAAACAAGATCAGACTGACCACCTCGGCTGTGGAGGTCTGCGGGGCAGAGACTGCTCAGAGTTGGGGACACACGCTCGGCTGGCGGACGTGGGCAGCAATCAGCAAGCGCGCCACAGTCCTCGGCGTTCCCTCGTGTTTGTACTTCGGTCCCACGCTCACCGGACCTGGTGGAACAGATTCTGTGGACAGATACCTTCTGGTCTCTTGTGGCCCAGATGGCGTCTGCTGCCCCTGTGCCTTGTCCCCGCCTCCTGGCAGCGTAGAGCCAATTGGGAGAGGTGGGTGTAACGCCTATGGGCGGGACCGTCTCTGGCTGAGGTACTACTAGCCCGCGGGAGGAGGAACCGGGATTTTCAGCCAGTTAGCCCTTGGCTGTATGGAGGTTCAGACTAGGTAAAACCAGTGCTAGGATGAAGACAGGTGATAGGAATGTCATCCCAGCAGCACCCGGCAGTCTGAGGCAGGGAGATCGCTGGGAGTTCCAGGCCTGGGCTGCAAATGGACCTATTTCAAAAGCGAAAAACTAACACAACGGCCTTGCCATGTGGCACATGCTTTTAATTTTTCAGCACTTGGAAGGCAGAGACAGGAGGAGCTCTGTCAGTTCAAGGTCAGCATGGTCTACAGAGCGAGTTCCAGGTTAACCAGGAGTTCACACTGAGACCCTGTCTCAAAGCAGGGAGCATGGGATAGGGCACGTGATAAATCAGGTATAGCTTTGTGTGCAGATTGAGATCACAGGTGCAGGCCTGTAATCTCAGCATTGGGGAGATCGAGGCAGGAGGGTCAGGATTTTGAGGTCATCCTGAGCTGCATAAGCCAGCTCAAGGGCAGCCTGGGTGCATAAGACCCTATCTCCAATTAAAAAAAAAAAAAGAAAAGAAAAGAAAAGAAAAAACAAGCTGGCAGTCTGGGTATGGGAATGCTAAATTATCTGTGCTAGCATGTACCTGTGACCTCAGCACTTGGGAAGCTGAGGCAGGGATATCAAGAGTTTGATATTCCTAGACTCTTGTGGTTCTCAACCTTTCCAATGCTATGACCTTTTAGTACAGTTCCTCATGTTGTGGTGACCCCAACCATAAAATTAATTTTGTTGCTAATTTATAACTGTTTTTTTTCCTTGCTACTGCTATGCATCAAAATGTAAGTATCTGTGTTTTCTGATGGTCTTGGGCAACCCCTATGAAAGAGTCATAAAGTCATTTGACCCCCAAAGGGGTCAGGACCTATAGGTTGAGAACTACTGGCCTAGAGAGATGGCTTAGCAAGTAAACAAGCTAGCCACTAAAGGCTGGCAACCTGAGTTCCGTCCTGGAAGTCATGTAGGCGGTCAGCTGTGAGGCTCATCTGTAATCTCAGCACTTCTATTCAAGATGGGAGAGAAGACTAGAGAAATGTCTGGGAGCCTAGGGACTGGCTAGTCTGGAGGACTTGGAACCGTGACAATACAGAAGCCCTGTCTCAATAAGCGGAAAGGCAAGAACCGACTCCAGAGGGTTGTCCTCCAATCTCCACCACACACACTCTGTGGCTCATGATGCACACACTCACCCACCCCCTCAGACCCCAAATAAATTAATATTTAAAGAAAAGATGGATCCAGTGAGATGCCTCATGGGGTGTAAGGTGCTTATAGTCAGGGTATGAGTTTGAGCCCAGGGACATACATGGTGGAAGGAGAGAATGACACCACCAAATTGTCCTCTTAGTATGTGCGCACGTGAACATGCGCACGTGCACATGCACACACATGAAACACACACACACTAAGTAAATAAATAAAGTTAAAAAAAAAACAAAAAAATGGGTATGTAGCCCAGTTGGTAGTCTCTAGACAGTCCAGAAACTGGATATTTCAGGCATTTGGGAATTAACACTCAGCTCATCCCTCAGTCTATCAAGTTCATCCTTAAAGCAGGAAGTATGGAATTCCCTGGAATCAGCGTGGGGACATGGCTGGAAGAAGAGTGGGCAGTGAGCCACTGTGAGGGTCTCACTATTGTGGAGGTTTGTGTGTGTGTGTGTGTGTGTGTGAGAGAGAGAGAGAGAGAGAGAGAGAGAGAGAGAGAGAGAGAGAGTGCGTTAATGGAGGTTAGAAGAGGGTATCAGCATTCCTAGAACTGGAGTTATGGATGGTTTAGAGCCACCATGTGGGTGCTAGTAATTGAAACTGGGTCCTCTTTTTTTTTTCAAGACAGAGTTTCTCAGTCCTGGAACTCGCTCTGCACATCAGGCTGTCCTTGAACTCACAGAGATCCATCTGCCTCTGCCTCCTGAGTGCTGAGATTAAAGGCGTGCACCACCACTGCCCAGCACAACTGGATCCTTTTAACCATTGAGCCATCTCTCCAACCACTTGACTGTGGACATTTTTGATCACCAGCAGATCAGATATGCTAGAGCTAGCCAAGATGGCACTGGGAGCCTTGGGGACCATTCCTTTTTGCTAGAGTGTCTGCAACACACAGTGCGATCGAAATGGAAGAATTCAGTCAAACATTCATGCCTTGTGAAGTGACCAAGTTTTCAAATGAATTGCCAACAGACCTACTAAATGTGAAAGACCTCAGGCACGGCACTTGCCTAGAATCTACGAAACGAGGAGCTGGGGACAAGGTTCAGTGGTGAACACTTGCCTAGAATCACCTGGTAAGGATTAGGACGTTGGTTCAGCTTTAAAGTGTCAGCTGAGAATTCCCCAAGGAGGAGCTAGGGGCATGGCTCAGGGTAGAGTCCTTTCAGATCAGGAGGGAAAGGAGAGACTCTGAATTCTTCCTCACCCTGTAAGCACCACCTAGGAAACCTCAAGCTCTGGCTCTTTCCCAAACCACAAAGTTCAAGAAACTTTAGGAGAAGGCTGGATGCACAGTTCAGTTGGTAGATTGCTTGCTTAGCACATACAGAGCTCTGGGTTTGATCCCCAGTACAGCTTCAAGCTAGCACAGTGGGCTCATACCTGGAATCCTAGCTCCCAGGAGGTGGAGGCAGAGTCAGGAGTTCCAGGTCATCCTCAGTTACATGGTGAGTTCAAGGTGGGACTACATGAGACACTGCCTCAGATAAACAAAATGAGTGAAAAACATTTAGAGGAGTTAAATGAAGACAGTACCACTATATGAATAGAACAAATATAATTATAACGTTTGTATTTCCTTTGTTTACTTTGTTGTGTGTCTTGAGGCAGGATCTCTCTATGTTACTAGACTTAAATTCACTGTGTAGCCCGGGCTGGCCAGAAATTGGACATTCTTCTGCTTCAGCCATCCAAGGGCTGGAGTCACATGTGTGTGCTAGCACTTCTGGCAATATCTTGAGTTCTAACAGTATTGTAGGCACCGCGTTAAATATTTTATATTTAAATTCTCATAAGTACTCTTAGAAGGCAATCCTGATAATCACCATGATGCTCCAGGTAAGGAAAGGACAGTATAGGAGAGAATGAGTGATTGCCTAAAGACACCAAGACAGGAAGCTTGAGTGCCAGGAGCCAAATCTAGCATCTCAGGATCAACATATCATCTGCCTGGGAAACTCTCCAAGAGCTGGCGAGTCAGAGGCTAATTACCCGAGGATCACATTAATGAACAACTGTATAACAGGATTGCTACTGAACCTCACATGACAATCACCTGCCTTTCCAGTCCTTGAAATGAAAACAAACGTTTGACAAGGAAAGGCCAGAGATGAGGAAGTGCTTACCAAGCATTGCCAACCACAGAGAAAAAGCATGGGGAGGGCTGTGAGATGGGAAAGACACGCGCTGCCAAGCTTCATGACCAAGTTTTGTCTTCAGAATCCACAGGGTGTGGGGCAAGAAAAGACCCATGAAAACTTGTCCTCTGACCTCCACAGGAGTGCTATGGGATGCGCACACACACGTGCGTGCACGCGCACACACGTGCGTGCACGCGCACACACACAAAGTAACAACAGTGCTCACTTCAGCACTATATGTCTATAATTAGAATGCTACAGGGTAGCTTAGTGTGGCCCCTGCACAAGGCTGACACTCGTGTGTGAAGTCTTCCATAGTTAAGATACAATAAAAAGCTATTTGCTTCCATCTGCCATGAGATGAGCTTGCTTTGTTCTGCCAAGTGCTGTTGGCCATGATATTAGGTTAGGCCTCACAGCAATGTCATCAGCTTACAAGGGAAGCAAGCCTCTGAAAACCATGGGCTAAAATAAACCGTTCCTGTCTAAACAACAACAGGCAAGATGGCTCATCCAGGGAGGCTACCTACTGCCAGTTCAGACTACTTGAGTTTCATCCCTGGGACCCACATGTGAAAGCACCTGTGGACAAAATTAATAGAATAGAAGGAAGACATACCTGTTTGACCACCATGGATCAGAACCTGAAGATTGAGGAGAGGTTGGAATGTTGCAGATCCAAAGCCTAATTATAACTTACCTTGCATGTGACCTTTGTGAGTATCATTTTTTTTTTTTGGAATGTATACACCTCTAGCCTCCATTGACCAAAATGCAAGAATGACACCAGAAGTACCAGAGGACTGACTGAAGAAGACATTTCCCTGATTTTCTGTAGCCCACTTATCTGACATTTCCACCAATGCTCTTGAAGAATGTTTCAATTTGTGATATTCTTTACTCTGTTACTGTAAAAATCTCATCTAACTGGGACTGTATCAGAACATAGAATTTTGGGTCCCCTGATGTTTTCATGGACCATTGTCACTCACATTTGGCTTCACAATACACTCCCTCTCAAACCCTTTGAGGAGAGAGCTGTGTTTTTGTGGACTCACCTGCCAAGCCAGCTCACTCACCCAGAACTTGATTTTAAGAGGTTAATATTGAATGGAGGCTATTGTTGTTATTGATATTATTCTACTTATCAAATACTCCTTTATGGTGTGGAAAATGTAAGCAAAAGATACTGTCTTTTCTATCAATAGGTTACAAAAGATAAAACTCCATTTTTTAAAAAAACTGCAAAGAGGGGCTGAAGAAATGGCTCAGAGGTTAAGAGCACTGGCTGTTCTCCCAAGGGTCCTGAATTCAATTCCCAGAAACCACATGGTGGCTCATAACCATCTGTAATGAGATCTGGTGTCCTCTTCAGGCATGCAGGCAGAACACTGCATAAGTAATAAATAAATCTTTAAAAAAAACTGCAAAGAAGCTATATGGCAAAAATTAAAATTCTTGCAGGGTCAGATTTTTCTTGAAATAAAAATATTTGCTCAGGGCTGCATTCTCCGTGAGAAACTGCATTCTGTTCACCAACTGCATCCATTTGTGAGGCTAAGCTCTGGCCACTTGGAGTGAAGCACAGGGCCCTTCTGGGTTAGAAATAAACACCCAGTGTGACTTCCACTGGGTGCCCTTGCCTGCTTGATTAGGTACCACTAAGTTCCCTTCTGCAGGAATAAAACATTTTGTGTTCTAAAGTATTTTGGATTGGATTGTTCAGTCATTTTCTTGAAATCGCAAACACATATATCACAATGGTAACAGCTCTACCAAGGTGAACAGAATATTTAATAGTTCAGGGGCTGCAGATGTAGCTCAGTTGGTAGAATGCTTGTCTCCAGCACCTAATAAGCTAGGTGTGGTGGTGTGTAGTTAGGAGCGTTGCGGGCTGCACCTGTCAGTAACAGACACGACTCCTCTGAGCATATATAAGCAGAGCCCTTTTTCTTCCTCGGGGTCTTCCCTCAACTTGCTGTAATGAGCCGCGCAATAAACATAGCTGCAGAAGAATCCTGTTGTTGAGCGTCGTTCTTGCAGGCAAGGCGATAGCGCTCGACAAGTGGTGCATGCCTATCATCCAGCCCTTGCAAGGAGGATAGAGAGTTCAAGGTCATCCTTGGCCATATAGCCAGTTTGAGATCAGCCTGGACTACTTAAGGCTTCGTGTGAAAACACACAAACCAAATTCAAACGAAAGCCCATTAGTTCAGGACAATCACTGATATGTCAAAGAGGTTGAAGTTACTGCGCAGGTGTCTAGATGGATACCATTTGAATGTGGTTGCAACCCAGTTCTCCTACTCAAATTCATCTGAGTCATTTTATGGTGTGGCTCTCAAAGGCACTTAGCCTGTGTTCCAGAAAAATCTATCTCTGAAGCCTTGGTTTTGATTGTTCCTCCTTCCACTCATCTCAAACACTTGTGGCTTGGGGACGCCTCTCTGCCTTGTTAGTCAATCCCTCTTCTACACTACAGAGTCTAAACAGTATGTCATAGTTATTTATGTCCAGAACTGGTCCCCCAACTAGGCTCTCAGCTAGCTTGGACAGAGAGTATGTATTACTCATATTTGAATCACCAGTGCCCAGTGGGCAATCACTCTAATATTGTTGAGTGAATAGCACACTGAACATCATTGTGGGGCTCATTATGCTCAAGACAGGGCCAGGGCACTCTTCAGTGCATATTATGGTAGCTGGGCCTGGGGTGACATCTTGTTTGCTTTGTGTGTTGATTTTTCATTTTGTTTTAAATGTTTTATTATTTTTAAACAGGGTTTCCCTATGTGATCCAGGGTGGCCTCTTTGAACACAGCATTCTTCTTCCTTGGCTTCCTGGGTATTATTATAGACTTGTACTAGCATGCCTGGCTTTACTTGTTGAATACATACACACATGCACAAGAACACACACATATACACAGTTATTTTTTATGAGACAGGCTTTTCACATAGCCCAGGGTGGCCTCAAACTCCCTCTGTAGCTGAAGGTGGCCTTAAAAAACTGAATCCTAGTCTGGCCTTGAACTTGCTGTATAGAGGATGATCTTGAATTCTAATCCTTTTGCCTTGCACTCCCAAATACTGGTATTATAGCAGACCTGGGCCACAGGACCAACCATTTTTCCTTTTTTCTAAGATTTATTTTATGTATATGTGTGTCTGCTTCACATGTGGGGGCTATCAAAAAGACCTTGGATCCTCTGGGATTGGAGTTATAGGTTGTTGTAAACCACCACGTTGGTGCTGGGAACCAAATCCTGATCCTTTGCTAGGAATGGAAGTACTCTTAACTGCCATCTCTCCAGCTCTGTCTCTGCCTCTCTTTCTCTCTGTTTGTGTACCTTTGGTTGTCTCTATTTCACAGAGATGTGCCGGCCTCTACCTTCCCTTTTTTCTCTTGCTGGGAATTAGAGGCATGTGTCACCATGCCTGGCTGGCTTCTGGGTGGGTTTTGTTTTTGTTTTGATACAGGGATCTCCAATAGCCTAGGATGACTTGAAACTCACTTTGTAGTACAGGCTGGCCAGGAACTCGTGGCAATCCCCCTGCCTCAACCTCTCTAGGGCTGAGATAACAAGTGTGAGCTAACATGACCGGCTTGGGGATTTTAACGCGCCCAAGGTCGGAACCTTATTTTACTAAAACCCTAAAAAATCTAGACCATGAAAAAGTTTACATTTTGTCTCCACATGCTCGACAGGCTGATATTAGAAACAGGTACGACGCTGAGAATCAAGGAGGAGCCCTGCACTCCCGGCAGCGATCCCGGCATGCAGCACGGCCGTCCCAGAGTGCCTTGCGGCACACACACGCACACAGGCGGAGAACTCCACGGCGGTGGCGCAACGTGAGTCCGTTCCCTTCCAGCGGCTGCGCAGGACGAAGCAGAGGCGACATGGAAGTGTAAGCGGCATGTCCAAGGGAAACTCGACTCATCTGGGGGTCGCGAGGCGGCTGGTGGCCGACCCTCCGCACCCGGGAGCCGGATGGGTGGGCGGAGTGGACGGGCGGAAGTATCTGGAGAGATCCTGCTGGTCTGGCAGCCGCCTCCCCTCCCCCATTCTTTAGGGGGAGGGTAATGTGGGAGGAATTGAGGTGTTTTTTTTTTTTTTTTTTTTTTTTTTTTTTCTTTCTGGTTCTAGGAATGAAACTCAAGACATTGCACGTGTTCCGCAAGTAGTCTCCCCCTCCCTCCCCGGGGGATACATTCCAGTCATAATTACTATCCTGGGATGCAGGCTTTGCTTATGCTAGGGAAACACTCAACTACTAATCCATATCCCCCCCCCTCCCCAGCCATCCTCATCACCAGCATCATTTTGTAATGCTGGAGTTGGTACTCAGGACTTTTGACATGCTAGGTAAAGGCTTTGCCACTGAGCTGCATCCCTAGCCGTTATCATTATTTTGTGATACCTAGGGCTGTGAACATACAAGGTGTGCGAGTTTCCATTTTGTTGTGTGACAAACACCATGACCAAAAGCAACTTCGGGATAGAAAGGATTTATTACATCTTTTGGTTTTTTTCGAGACAGGGTTTCTCTGTTTATCTCTGGTTGTTCTGGAACTCGCTCTGTAGACCAGGCTGGCCTCGAACTCACAGAGATCCTCCTGCCTCTGCATCCCCGAGTGCTGGAATTAAAGGCTTGCGCCGCCGCCACTACCACCACCACCACCACCACCTGACAGGGTTTATTACTTCTCACACTTCGGCACACAGTTCATTATTGAGGGAATTCCGGACAGGAACCTGAGCAGAACCCATTCAAAAATTCTGCTATTGGGTTTACTCTCTGGCTTTTTCCAACTTCTTTATCTAGCCCAGGACCACCTACACCGTGATGGAGCTACCTGCAGTGGTCTGTACTCTCTTGTATTACTTAATAATCAAGACAGCCCCTCATGGATCTGCCCACAGACCAACCAGATAAAAGACAGTTCCTCAATTGAGGCTTCTCCTCCAGATGAAGCTAGTCTGTTTCAAGTTGACAGTTAAGAGCAACCAGGAAACTAGGCAAATTTCTGAGGTACCTCCCCAGCTACCATCATCATCATCCTCATTTTGTGATATTGGGGATGGTATGTCTGCACCATTATTATTACTGTTATTATTTTGTGGTGCTGGGGGTGGACACTATGGATGCTAGGCAAGCACTTTAGCATTAAGCCACACCCTCCCCATCATCATATTGTGTGTTTGGAATAACAGGATCCTGAACATTCTAGGCACTTACACCAGCAAAGCCATCCTGACAGTTTTTTCTCCATACTGTTTTTTTTTTTTTTAATGTTTTTTGATGTGCACATGTAAGCTTTTGCATCTATTCTCCCTTTGTACTTTATATGCACCTGGTTGACATACCTAAATTGTGTTATTATCATTCATCTTCCTTTACCTCCTGTTCATTTGTTACATACTACAGTTTGTCAGACTTCTTTTAATACAGAGACATAAGTTGCCCAGGCTGGCTTTGATCTTGGTTTTCTTGGAGTTCTATATCCTGTGTCTACCTCTCAAGCTGCTGCATCAGATTGGCCCTTCAGTATTGGGGTTTGGGAGGTCCTCTCACTGTGTAGCTCAGGCTGTCTGATCCAGCTTTCTCCATCTCTGAGTAGCTATTGTCAGACACCCTGAAAGCTCTCTGACATGCCCCTGGATTTCCTCCTCTGTCCTACTGCTGGGAGTTCTTTTCTTACTCCTTCTCTTCCCTTGTTGGAGTCTTAGTGTTATTGAGCATCTTAGTGCTTCATCTTGGGACACTTTCTCTGTACACATTCTTGGTATACATTCATTTATATGACGGTGGTTCCTCAAACTGTTTCTGGCCTTTCCATACCAGTCATTAGACAGTCTTTTTCCTGTTTTCCAGCCCCCTCCTCTTGTGGTAGGGTCTTATGTATCCAAGGCTTAGTCTTGAACTCACTACCCATTCAAGGGTGACCTTGAACTTCTGATCCTCCTGTTTCTACTTTCCCAGTGTTGAGCTTACTGGTATATGACACCACTCCCTGTTTATGCAGTGCTGGGGATGGGGCTCAGGGTTTTATGCATCTTAGGAGTGCTATAATTTTAGAAAAGTGTCATGTGAGGCAAAGACACCATGAGACAGGGTTCAAGCAGAGGGATATTTTTTATTAGGGAAAGGGATCATAAAAAGGAGAAAGGGGAGAAGGAGACTGGCCTACTGGAGACAGCAGTAGGAAAGAGGGGAAGAGAGGAAGAAAAGGGGAGTGGGGAGAAGGGAGAGAGAGGAAGAGAGAGAGGGGAGGATGGCAGGTAGGCGGGGCCCTTTAAAAGTGAACATAGTGAATATGCACAGGTAGTGCTCTTAGTGGCTGCAGCTGAGGGTGTATCCTGTCAGAACCCGAAGGACAGGCCAGTTCAGATGCCTGAATACTAACGAAAGCACTCTAGTAACTGAGCTACATTCCCAACTCAAAATCCCCCCACCCTTTTTTAAGGCTTGAAAAATTATTTTTTATGCTTAGCAGTGATAGAGAATGCCTTTAATCTCAGCACTCAGGAGGTAGAGACAGGCGGATCTCTGAGTTCGAGGCCAGCCTGGTCTACATAGTGAGTTACAGGACAGCCAGAACTACACTACACAAAGAAACTCTGGGAAAAAAAAAACATTTTTTATTTATTATTATTACATGTCTCTTTGTCTTTATGAGTTTGTACATGTGAGTGCAGAACCCTTAGAGGGCATCAAATCCTCTGGAGACAGAGTTAGTGGTTAGTATCAGCCACCTGGTGTGGGTACTGGGATGCAAACCTAGGTCCTCGGCAAGAGCAGTATGAGCTCTTAACTGCTGAGCCATCTCTGCAACCTCCTGTGGCTTCTTCAGGGTGATAGAGTACATAGTCAGAGTTGGAAAAATGGGCATTGTTTTCTGTAGTGTGTGTGTCAGGATTGTTTTCCTTTTACAGCTAGCAATATGAAGATTTAGGAAGAGAAGCAAAAGATTTATAACAACCCAGCAATAGCTTAGGAAGAGTGTGCTTGGTGGCTAGCTGTGAAGTGCACAGTGAGGGTTAAAGTGTTCATTGACTTTGAAGCTTTTCAGTTTTCTCGTATCAAAGTTTAGGTTTTCAGAACATGAATTGATGTTTTAAGCATAGAAGAGTTTAGCAATTCTGTTCGTCATTTCATTCGTAAGTGAAGTGTGTGGCAACTAATAGACACTGCTCACTTTTTTGTTTGTTCTGTTTTTTGGTGTTTGTGTGTGCTTTTAAGGAAAGTCTGTCAATAGATCATTTTGTTCTGTTTATTCAGAATTCTGTTTTCCACAGTGGTTGTTTACTTCTGTTAAATTGACTCAGCACTTGATTAAGCACACTTCATAGGTTAAATTTCAAATAGTAAGGCAGCTTCAGTCCACTAATGAATTATTTAAGGACACTAAATAACTACCTACTTAAGGCTTAGACTCCATAGTCTTTAAAATTCACTTGGTTTGTAATCCTAGCATTTAGAAATAGCAGTAGGAGGACCACAAGGTTAAGGGCAGCCACAGCTGTGTAGCAAGTTCCAGGTCAGTCTCTATTACACCACAAGAGCCTATCTCAAAAACAAAACAAAACCACAATCTGGCCTCTGCCTTCCAAATGCTGAGATTACAATTGTGAGTTGTAGTACCCATCTTAAAAACAAATAGGGGCTGGAGAGATGGCTCAGCATTAAGAGCACTGGCTGCTCATCCAGAGGACCCAGGTTCAGTTCCCAGCACGGCATGGCAGCTCACAACTGCCTATAATTCCAGTTTCATGGGATTCTCACACCATCACACAGACATACATACAGGCAAAACATGAATGTACATGGAGTAAAAATAAATATGTGTAAAAGAGGACCTGAGTTCTATTTTCAGCACCTATAATCAGTTGGCTCACAACTGCCTGTAACTTCAACTTCAGAGAAGCTGATGTCCTTGTCTGACCTTGGAAGGCACCTGAACACATGTGTGCATGCACACATACACATAAATAAATAATAAACCTTAAAAAAGACATTCCAGAGATGTACAGCTCATGTAGGCCTTCATAGGAAAGGGAGGTTAATATATATATGCATACACACACACACACACACACACACCCATTGACAAAAGATTGGGTTCTGGGCATTGCATGCTAAGCACATGCTCTACCACTGAACTATATCCCAGTCTGTTTTTATTGGATATAGTTATGCTAGAATGTTTTGGCATTTAATCTGAATATTTAGCTGGGTTTTAAAATCATGCAGACGTGGTAGTACACAACTACATTCCTACCACTCAGATTCTGAGGCAGGGGAGTCATGAGTACAAAGGCCGGTTTGGGCTATATAGCAAGACACTGTCCCCCCCAAAAAAAGAAGTGGAAACTAAAGAAAGGAAGGAGGGGAAGGGGTTGGAAATCAGTGAATTAGTTGGTTTCTGCCAGCTAGAGTTTGCAAGATGCAATATCTGTCTTGTTCTCCTGGACCTCAAACTGACTCATTAATGTACATGAGGGGTGTATAGATTGATGGTGGAGTACTTGCTTAGCATGTGTCAGACCCTCTCCTTAACCCCTAGTACTCCAGCTTTAAAGTTGTTTTCCCAATTCTCTCTCTCTCTCTCTCTCTCTCTCTCTCTCTCTCTCTCTGCCAGAAAAAGCAGATGATGTTTGTTGGGTTCTCAGATCTGTGTTTGCTGGAGTATGTGTGTGTTTGGGTGTTTGAGACAGGGTCTCCCCGTGTAGCCAATGTGACCCTCTTTCCCCAGCCATAAGCATGCACCATCTTGCCCATTTTTTGTGTTTCCAATGTTGACTTGAGTAGTTAGGCAGTGACTTGGAATGGCCAAGGTCCAATTTCTCAGTGCATGACAGCAAGAGTGGTATGTGATTTGGAAATGACATGTACCAGTGACGCTGGGGATGGCTTCATTGACCCTGAAGTGATATCACAGGTGCAGTGTTCCTCTGAGAGCTCGGGCAGTGTAACTTGATTTCAACCAGAAATAGGAAGCCTTCTGGGCTGATTTCTTGATTAAGTAGCTATGATTTGATTTTTCTATTTAGGTTTTTTTTTTTCCCAGGCTAACATTGAACTCAGTTTGGCCTCAAACTCCCTGTATAGCTGATTACAGGCTGCCGCCAAGCTTGGTGTTTTTGGTGATAGGTATGGAACCAAAGCCCATGGCCATGCTGGGCAAGTGTTCTGTCAACTGAGCCCTGCACTATTTTTCTTGTGTTAGATTTTTTTTTTCTAAATATGACTCTCTGACTTGGGCGCAGTGTCTTGGGGACGAAGCAGATTTGTGAAGTTGTAGCTGTTTGCTGAATGCCAGCAGCATTTGAAGCTCTGCTCACTGATTTGATTTTTGTGCTGACGCCACTGTGCTGCTGCTGACTTGTTGACCCCTGTGTTAGCTGTGGGAGAGTTCCGCTGCAATTGTTGACTGGGGGAAGCAGCCATCTCTCATGCTCATGGTTTCCTAACCCTGCACTATCGTTTTCATCATCTAGGTCCACTCCGGTGAAAGAGTATACAGTGGTTTTTGTGCATTGTGTCAGCTCTAGACTCCTCTACTTGAATTTTGGGATTCTGTTACTAGTTTCCTTTCACCTAGTCTAGTCTTACTTTCTTCGTGTGTGTGTGTGTGTGTGTGTGTGTGTATTTGTTTCGAGACAGGGTTTCTTTGTGGCTGTGGAGGCTGTTCTGGAACTAGCTCTTGCAGATCAGGCTGGTCTCGAACTCACAGAGATCCACCTGCCTCTGCTTCCCAAGTGCTGGGACTAAAGGCGTGTGCCATCACCGCCCGGCTTAGTCTTACTTTCCACAGTCATAATTATCTTCCATTTCACTGGGATTTCTTACTGTGTGAACAATTACTTTAATCTCTGAGCCTCAGCTGTGTCACCTGAATGTTGGAATCATATCAATAGGCCCTGCATTGGAGGGGTTTAGTGAGAGTTGACGGATCTTTTCCTTTTCTGCACACAAGTGTTTTGTCTACATGTATGTCTGTATACCATATGGATGTCAGAAGAAGGCATAGGATTCCCTCAGGATTGGAATTACAAATGGTTGTGAGCCACCATGTAGATAGATGCAGGGAATCAAATCAAATCTAGGTCCTCTGAAAGAGCAACTAGTACTCCTAACCACTGAGCCATTTCTTCAGTCTGAAATAATCTTTTTTTTTTTTTTTTTTTTAAATAATGCCCTCCATTTGTGGAGGCCCTAATCTTAAAATCTGTCATGTCATTTCACCTGAACTGAAAATCTTCATGAAGGAAGAGGCGTAGTAGCCTAGGTGAGAGTAACGATAATGACTTTTATAAGCACATGCAGTGTTCTGGGTTCCTACATTTTTACATTTATTCCCGAATATAATCTCCCAAAGGTGTATAGTATAATTTCCATGTTGTAGATGCGAAGATATTATAGAGATGAAATTACTTTAGAAAATTCACACAGCCAATGATAGTATGGGGTTTAGAATCTGATTACACTTCAATTAAAAAAATTTATATATTATGTATATATAAACATGTACACCTGCTTGTCTGTGCACCATGTGAGTACACAGTGCCCCTGGAAGCTGGAAGCTGGTGTTGGAACAAGTTTCAGGCTGTTGTGAGCTGTCTGATGTATGTGCTGGAAACTGAACTCCAGTCTTCTGCAAGAGGGACAAATGCCCCTAACCACTGTGCCATCTCTCCAGCCCCCATACTATACTAGATTGTTTCCATATTTTGTGTTAGCTGGGGTAAGCTTGGGGAGAAATTGGCCCAATAAAGTCTACATATTAACTTGGCAGAGAGGAAATCAGAACCTACTAAGTATGTCTGGTTTCAAAACTGTGTCTAATTGTTATAGTATGCTGGCCCTAGGCTGCTTAGAGCAATATGTCGTCTGCTGTGATGGTGTGGAATCAACCAGTTGTGATCTGTGTCATTACTGATAGGATATCTCTGATACGATAGTGGGGAGTGGATCAGTTGTCATTTGCGCTGTAGCTATACTCACATAGGGATGGTAAAAAAGAAAAGTTTGCTTAATCAGGTGTTACACAGGGGGAAAAAAAACAGGCTTTTAGCAACTAAATATATGATGTCTCTGTGACTCTTTTCACTGGTCCTTGACCCTTGCTGGAGTTTCTAGTGCATAGGCCATTTCTGTCAACCTGGAAGGACTCAGGTTGTCCACTAGTTAGTGGTTATAATTAGAAGGATGTTGGCTAAGGATGAATCAGCACCTTGTTTTTCTTGCTTGTATACTGGGGTTCCTTTGAGGTTTGGCTTCCATGTTCTTTTTGTTGTTTTGTTTTTCAAGATGGGGCTTCTCTGTGTAGCTTTGGAACCTGTCCTGGAACTCGCTCTAGACCAGGCTGGCCTCCAACTCACGGAGATCCGCCTGCCTCTGCCTCCCAAGTGCCAGGACTAAAGGCTCACTCCTGCTGCTCCGCCGCTTCCATGTTCTTGTAACTAACTTGTGTCAGATGTATGACTTCTCAACTTCTGTGCACATAGGTTTGGGGTGATACAGTATCTGAGTCATCCATGGGGAAATGGGCATGTGAAATGCTATGCCTATAAAAAAGGAAAGTCTGGGGGCTGGAGAGATAGTTCAGTGGTTAAGAATGCTTGCTATTATAACGAGAACCAGAGTTTAGATCTCAGCACCCATGTGACATGTCTAGGCGTTCTCCAAATGCCTGAAACTCAGCTTTGAGGGTTTTAGTGCCTTCTGTGCACACAGGCATGCACATCTACATTCCTATGTAGTACATACATAGGTCTCATAAGCACATGCACACACATACATAAAATAAATACTGAAAGGAAAGGACAGCAAAATTGTTTCTATTTGAAGTTGCTGAGGCAGGGCCAGCTAATGCAGGTAGGACATAGGCATTTCTAGTATTAGGTTGTTCACACTTGAGACCTTGGAATAGATGTGAACTGATGGTGGCTCACTGTTGTTTTTCAGGAAGGATGCGAATGCGGCCCTGCTCAGTAACTATGAGGTAAGGACCCCTGTAGGGGCTGTTGTATGTCCCTCTTTTGGTTTAGTCTTTGCTTGTGAAGATGTTGGATTACTTTTCTTTAGAAGTGACAATTCATTTGAAGTTTCCACTTTAACACGGGTAGGTGGCCCCTGGTGGATCTTGGAATAGTTTAAGTTTGGTGAATTATACATGGTTTTTTAAGGAAGCAGGGAGGCTCTGGTTCATAAGTACCCTTCAGTAAATCCCAGAGTCCTGGAAGAAGAGCCGCTGCTTTAGAGCTACTTCTTTCTATTAAAATCTTAGCCCTTTCCTAACTATCATCCTTTATTTCATTTTGATTTTCAAAGGGCCCCAAAGGTGTTGACATTTTCATTGTGAGACTAAGAGTTGACTTGACTCATCATTTTAAATAATTTAGTAAGAATAGGCGGCTTTGTAATTCGGGGGCTGATGGAGAGAGAGGAAAGAGGTTGGTGAGAGGGGAGGGATTAGCATTTTTACTGCCTTCTATTTTTCCTGGGTCTAGTTTGGGACTATCAAAGCAGTCTGATAGGTCAGGCAGCTCCAGGTGTGGAAAGGCCTGCTTATAAATTGTTTCCATGTCACAGTGAAAACTCAAAGTCTTGGAGGAGGTCTAGATCTCTGTTCTCTCTCTCTCTCTCTCTCTCTCTCTCTCTCTCTCTCTCTCTCTGTGTGTGTGTGTGTGTGTGTAATTAATTCAGTTTGCCTAAGATCAGCCTAAGTGGTTGTGGCTTAGCCACAGGAAGGAAATGTTCATTGGTCAAAACATTGACTTTTAGGCACTCTCTGTCCTGTTTGGCCTTTGCTCAGTATTTGTGTCATTGGGAAACATTATGTTCATTGAGTCTCATGCCACTGCTTTTCAAAGGCTGTGGGCTTGGGAGAATGTTGGAGGTGTGTGTTGCATACCTGTCTAGTAATGGTCTGTGAGCCTGTATTTTCCTCAGATCTCTGGTAGAATCTCAGAAACAGTAGTAAAGTCCCACTCACCCCCAACCCAGTACTAATATGTATGTGCTTTTCCTTTGTGTAGCATTTCCCCTTTGTTTCCTATCTGCATCTCTTTTGGGGCACCAACCCCCTTTTTAGGATTCCTTACAGGGTCCAGTTAACTTTATAGCCAGTGAAGGAAAAATAACTAAAATAGCTAAGGGTGTCTGAGGGAAAGCATTGACTCACATACAATAGCTCTCTGCACGTCTTTTTTTGTTTGTTTGTTTGTTTGTTGTGTTTTTTTAATTTTTCTATCTCTTCTTCTCTTCCCAGTTCTTGGAGCATTTTTAACAGTAATCGTTTTTTGCAATACAATGTGAGGCTTGAGTTTCTCAGGGTCAGCAAGGCAGATAAGATTTACACAGAGCAACTAAACTAAAACTGCTAGGAGAAACTTTTAGCATCAGTTGCTTAGGGTTGTGGGTCAAGGAATGGGTCTAAATTTAATTTGCACAAGGAACAGAACCTGGTACCTTCCAGTGCTTTGACCTCAGTGGTAGCAGAGGCCTCCAGGAAAGTTTACTCTTCCCATGAGGATGAACAAATGGGCTGACTACCCTTGTCTTTATCTTCTCAGGGGAAACAGGAGGAAGCAGTACATCTCTGAGTTAAAATTTTGAGTTAATAAAAACAAGAAGTTTGGGAACCTTTTAGTGTAGGGTTAGTTTAGGTTATCATTTCTCTGCTAGTGAATTAAAGCTAGGACATGTTTATTTTTTTCTATCTATCTAGGGAGCTTATGAATCAACAGCTTTGGGCGTGTAGTAATTCTATATCCTCAGCTATCTGGGAATGTCTTAGATGGAATGCTTTTGCCTGGGCCCTAAACATTGACCAAATGACTGTCGATAAGGATAATTGCAGGAAGCCAGATCCCTCAATTACACAGGAGAGGGGAAGAGGACCTGGTAGTGGGAGACAGGTCTCATCCATTACTAAGGGATGTAATCAGTAAACAAAGACCTGGTAATGGAGAACAGGTTTCACACACAGCTAAGGAGTGTAATCAGTAAACTCCAAATGCAGGGGAGAAAGTGTGCCCAGTAAGTGATCAGATAAATAGTGCTGAACTGTGGGAAGTAAAAAGTTTGTTACCGAATGGAATAAGATACAGGAAGAATCTACAGCAAGAAACAGTTCATTTTATTCACAAGACTATATATGATATGTCTTGTCCTGGTTTAATCCTCCAGGAGAATTGTCAATTCTTATGGGTTGGCCTTGTGAAGTGAGGCTGATTAATTACTGTGCGATCTTGCAGCTTGTAGCAGTTTTCCTTGTCATGCTGGGGACCCAGGGACTTTGTCATATTAGGCAAATGGTTTGCTACTGAGCAATATCCTCAGCTTTTTTTTCCCCCAATGCTGTATTTTATAATTTGTCACATGTTCTTTCTTTTACAGAAAGAAATTGTTACACTAGGTTTGTGTCTTAAGCAGAGCCCCTTAAAATATTTAGTTTAGGAAAATCTACTTTGAAATATTCATAAATGGTTTTGAGATTTAATTTGTAAATTAGATTTTGTCTTGTGTGATGTGTTATCTGCATGGACACGGAGGACAGAGGATTTGTGGAAGTTGTTTTCTCCTTCTGCCTGTGGGTCTGGGGATGGAACTCAGGTTGCCATGTTTGGCAGCAAGTTCCTTTACCAGCTGAGCCATCTCATTCACCTGTGATACATATTTTTAAAGTAGTGTTCTCAATTATTTTTTTAAGGATTTACTTTTAATTTTTAACATGTGTGTCTGTATGTGGGTATAGTGCCCATACAGGCCACACTAGGCCATTGGACCCTGTGGCCTGGAATTGCAGGTGTTGTGAGCTGGCCGTTGTGAGAATCCTCTAGAAGAGTAGCAAGTGAGCCATCTCTTAGTCACTGAGCCATCTCTCCAGTATTGCATTTTAAGTAAATGAATGTTTTGAATTGACTTAGCATGGTTCTAGGATGAAATACCTATTCTAGACCAACTGTTGGGAAGCAGGTTTGTGGAAAGGAAGTGGCATTACCTGACTGTCTTTTAAAACCTTGGAAGAGATACATCTTCAACTTCACTGACAAATGTCTTTTGCGTCCCTCCCTAGGTGTACCAGTTACTAACAGATCTCAAAGAGCAGCGGAAGGAGAGTGGGAAGAACAAACATAGCGCTGGGCAGCAGAACTTAAACGCCATCACCTATGAGGTGAGCCCAGCTGCTCAGGGCCTCACCAGTGGGGAGGGTGGCTGCTGCCTAGGTAACTGGGAGGAATTTGGTCACCTGCCAGTTAGTGAAACAAAATAAAATTGTCCTCACTTGTAGATACTAAGTGCACATTTGAGGTCCCCACCTGAACCACCCTCAGATGCTCCCAGTCACCTGGCTGGACTCTTTTGCTCTCCCTGGATGAGAGTCCTGGGTAGGTGGGAAATTCTTACAGGGCTAGTGCTGGTCAGTGTTTGTGGGAGTGAGGGTGGTGTGTGTGTGTGTGTGTGTGTGTGTGTGTGTGTGTGTGTGTTTACTTTGGAGGCCGTAGCAGCTGGCCCATGGGAGCCTCAGGGGATGGAGCCCTTGAGTGTTATAACCTCATGGCAGGCTTTTGGTAGTGCAACATTCTGCTCCGGTTCTTGGGTAGGCCTAGAAGTCAGGGTTCCTCAGCTCTCAGCAGCGGCTGGCAGTGTAGCTTCCCAGCAGGGCCAGATGTTGGGACTCTTCCGCCCTTGATCGTACCAGCATTACACTCTGCAGGCCTGGGGTGCCTGATCACTTTGGTCCTAAACACTTGGTTGCTCTCTGGAACGCTTCTCTCCATCTCTTTGTTTTGAGACAGGGTCTCAGGCTTCTTAGGTGGCCCAGGGTGATTTCAAACTCTTGATCCTCCTGCTTCCATTTCCCAGGTGCAGGGATCACAGTCACGTGCTGCCACACCCCTGACCATTCTCTGGCTCTCTAGGGCCTGGTGACTTTGAGCCTCAGGCCCCCACCCGCTGTCCACTCCCACCATCCCTCTAGTCTTTCCCTGGCTGCTCTCTCACCGCTCTGGCTGCTTTGGGAGAGAGACAGCTGCCACTGCTCTGCTGCTCCACGGCTTGTGCAGCTTGGGTGCTGATGGCCATGCGGCTAGCCCTCTGCTGCTCCTCTGCAGTGTCTTTGCTGCTACGTCACTGTCTTGGTGGCTTCTTAATGTTGCCTGTGCAGCTTGCTGTGCTAGATATGGGGAAGGAAAAAGCAATGACGGATAAACAACGAAAACCCAGCTGAGAGAGGCACTTATGGGACATGTTGCAACATCAGGGAAGCCAGGCAGCACAGAAGGTGAAGGCGTCTTCTGTAGTCAGCTTGCCAGTGAGTTGAACAGCCTACTTTGGTAGAGAAGGGGTGTATTAGTCAGGGTTCTCTTAGAGGAGTGGAATTAATGGAATGAAAAATCTCCCCCCCCACACACACACGCGGACAGAATCCGCTTTAAAATAGTAATGGCAGTAACTCCCACTGAGAGCTGAGAACCCTGTAGTCTCTTGGTCCTTGGGACTCAGTGTCTCAGCAGCAGAAAGTTCCACAAGGCTCTCTTACTGGGAGTTGCTCAGTCCACAAGGCTGGATGCCTAAGCAAGTCCTTATTTGGCACTGGAAGCCCAGAAATTTCTGGAGAGCTTCTGGTCCCTGGACCATGATGAAAGCTTGGAAACTCTGCTTCTGATATGAGTGCAGGAATCAGCAGCAGTAGGAAGGGAGATCAACTCAGCAATAGAGGGGTCACATGAACAGAGGGCTAGGGGACCCCCCTCCTACCACGCCCTTTTTTGGTCTGGACTACTAGCAGGAGGTGCCACCCACAAGACAGGTGGGACCCCCACCCAATCAAGGCAATGAGAACACTTCTTAAGGTGAGGCTTCCTACTCAGGTGATCTTAATTGTGCCAAGTTGACGTTCAGACCAACTGTAATAAGGGGTGTTGGTAGTGACCACAGCAGACCTTACATGCAGAAGAAAGTTTAGATTTGCTCCAATCATAGCCTTGTCTCTTTCACACAGGTCATACTAGACCCAATGCAAGGCCATCAAGTGGAATGCTTGCCCTCTGAATTGCATGGAAATGATTGCAGGGTCATCTAGAGTTCATTGTGACTTGTGATAACAAAAACAAAAACAAAAAACAAAAAAGACAACAGTATAGACTGTTCAAAGCAGTCCTGTCTTTCAGGAGTCACAACAAGCAGCAGCGATTGTTATGTCATTTCCCCCAAGGTGTCTAGGGAGGTATCAGAATGGCTGAGCTCGACATCCCAGTGAGTGGTGAGATCTTTGCTTATGAATAGGAAAATGGATACCAGAACTAATGCTTATAAGAACAAAAATAACCCTGATAATGATGTTTAACAGGGTTTTATCATGGCTTAACTATTCGGGTCTATTCGGGTCATCTATCTCAGAACTATGACATTCACAGGGACAGTTTCCTGCAAGGAAAGGGTTCTGATGAAAATTAGCCAAGAGACTCAGGAAATAGGCAGAATACCCAAGTCATAATCTCCACTGTCCTCACACGTAGACTCGGGTCATATTACTTTTCTAAAGTGGGTATATGGCAATAGAAATATATACTAGTCTTTACTGCTAGCTAACCCTTGCTCTAAAATACACAGGTGGGGCCAGCTGCTAAGTAGGTTGATAAGCATATGCAGTATGACCCAGGGGCCCAGGCATAACATCCCAAGGACCCGGAAATTATTACCTACAACTCTAGGTCAAAGGCCAGAACTGCTTTTTGTACAAAGCCAATTTATTTTTCTTTTCTCCTTTTCAGTTTTTTTGAGACAGGGAGGTCTCACTGTGTAGTCTTGGCTGGACTGAAATTCATAGAAATCTGTTTGCCTCTTTAGGCATATAAAAGGAAGAAAGCAAAAAATAATTCATAAAGTTGTTCTTCCTAACCTCTTTGGGAATTGAATGGAAATTGCAGGAAAGTATTATATTAAATTGATGAATAAACTGAAACTTGATATTATAACTTAAGGACAAGTCAGCAAAAACAAAAGCAAAACTCTCCAGGTGTTGGGCTAGAGATGTAGCTCCATGCTAGAACACTTGACTTCTTGGGGCTGGAGTGGTGGCTCAGCAGTTAAAAGTGCTTATTGCTCCTGCAGAGGATCTGAGTTTGGTTTCTAGCACCTGCACTGGGCAGTTCACAACCATCTGTAACTAACTTCAGTATCAAGGGATCAGGGTTTCCTTTATCTGCAACTGCTCTCTTATACATATACTCATATTTGTGCACACAAATAAACATATAATTTAAAAATAAAAAATAACTCTTGAAAGCATGAGAATTTTAGAATGTTAAATTATATCACTGCTTTCCTTTTTTCTTGTTCAGAATTATTCTTTCAAGATTTTATGTATATGAGTATTTTGCTTGCATATATGTCTTGCACCATGTGTGTGTCTGTTTACCTGTGGAGGTCAGAGAAGATCCTTGGAACTGGAGTCACATATAGTTGTGAGCTACAATGTGGATGCTAGGAATTGAACCTGGGTCCTCTGCAAGGGCAGAATGTGTTCTTAACCACTGAACCACCTCTCTAGCCACTTATTCAAATTCCTGTATCCTGGGGCTTCAGATGGCTCAGTAGTTAAAAACACATATTGCTCTTGCAGAGGACCCATGCTTGATTCCCAACACCCACACAGGCATCTGTATTCAAGTGCACATGCCCTCATAGGCTCACATAATTAAAAATAAAAATAAATCAATAAACCCCTCAAAATTTCTATATCTTATGTTGCCTTCCTTTTGTGTGTTTATTTTTTAGACATTAAAATACATATCAAAAACGCCATGTAGGAACCAGAGCCCCGAGATTGTTCAAGAATTCCTCACAGCAATGAAAAGCCACAAGCTGACCAAGTAGGTAACAGGTATTGCAAAACATGGTGAGAATAATGTCTTAAAACAGCTGTCTGCAACAGCTGCATCTACATTCAGACACACTTTGGCCTCATAATTGCACACAATTACTGGTTTTTGTTGTTGTTGTTTTTCAGGACAGGGTTTCTCTGTGTTGCCCTGACCAGGATGGCCTCGAGCTGCCTCTACCTCCTGAGTGCTGGGATTAAAGGTGTGTGCCACCACCACCCAGCAAAATGTCTTACTGGATTTTTTTTATATGTATGAATGCTTTGCCCACATTTATATATGTTTGTGCATCACATGTGTGCCTGTTGGATCCTTTGGAGCTAGAGTTATAGTCTGTTGAACCACCATGTGTTATGAGTAAGGTTTTCCCCTGCCACCGGTCTGGTCTTACCACCATGCCAGCCCCAAATAACACACAGACAGAGACACTGTATATGATATAAAGCCGTTGGTCAGTTACTAGTTTCTTATCGGCTAGCTCTGTCTTAATTATTAACCCATTTTTATTAACCTATTTCCACGTGGTCTTATCTTACCGGAGAGAGGGGCTGGCGTTCTTCTCTCTCCGTCCTCCATCTTGGATCTCCTCTCTCCTCCTTGTCTCCTAGTCCCGTCTATCTTGCTTTCCTGTTGGCCAACAGTGCTTTATTCATTAACCAGTATGAGAAACATGTTTACAGAATGACATCTCCCATCAACCATGTGGGTGCTGGGAATCAAACCAACATCCTCTGTAAACAGAGAAGCCAGAGCTCTTACCTGCTGAGCCATCTCTTCAGCCCTTTAAAATTATTTTTAATTATGTGAATATATGTGTGTATGGCTCTGTATGTGGATAAGTTCAGCTAAGTGCAGATGCCTGAGGATGGCAGAAGCTTGGGATCCACTGTAGCTGAGTTATAGTTGGTTGTGAGTGATAGGAACTGAACTCAGGTCCTCTGCAAGAGCAGTATACGCTCTCCACCACCGACCCATTCCCTCTAGCCCCTCGTGACAGAAATCTAGGTGGTTGATTTTTCAAGTCATTTCCCAAGTGTTTGTCTGAGCTCTCTGGATATAGTGCCTGCATCTTTTCCATGGTGGAGAAACTTGCTTAACATGGCTAAAGCTCTGGGTTCCATCACCAGTGCTGCCAAAAGAAAGAAAAGAAAAAGAGACAAGGGGTTGGAGAAAGGGAGGAAGAGAGAGAGAAAGAAACCTATAAAATAGGAATCGCTTTGCAAATTGGTTCAAAATTGGTTGAATCTACACACTTCAATAGAGAATTAACTGGCTCCCTTTTCCAATTTGCCATCTTCAAACTAATCATTTATTAAGTCTCCTGTGACCTTTTAAATCTTTACCTCTTGGTTCTGTGACTGCCTGGGCAAAAGCCCCTGGCAGTGTTGTGCATTGGCCAGTAGAGGGATCCAGCAAGCTTCTTGGTCTGTGGCTGGCTTCTGCCTCTTGGCCTGCATGATTGGTGAAGGGGCTGCTTGCCAAATAAGACAGTGACCAACCTTGCTAGCCAGTGCATTTTAAGACAGGAACCATGTTTAAAACCGTGTTTAATATGTTCTTTAAATCTTACATTTGATTTTGAAGTCACCTTCCGTTTGGCTCAGGGGAGGGATCCAAACATTAGTTTGCTTAGGTATCTTCATCACTGGTGTCCTTGAGGGTAGACTAGGAACTGAATTTTGTTTGCCTTTGTAGACTTCATCAGCACAATAGAACAGTTGGAATTCAACTCCAAGTCAGGTCGGCACTGTGTGTTATGTAATTTTTAATTTAGTGTGTTACCCCAGTCTCCACCAAAATGGATTCTTTAATATTTTTAGATTTAGCCTGAGTTTTATTTTTTTAGTGCCTAACTAGTAGCCCCTGCTTCTATCCTGAGATCACCCTTGTGAGGCACACAGTTGTGTGGAGGAACACTTGCCCCCAGGCAGGCTCAGTTAGGTCTGTAGTAATGCTGCCATCTTCTCTTCTGCGCACATTACTCCAGTATTGACACCATACTTTTGGGATGTGGACTTCAGAGCAGCAGAGCTCAAGTGTAGATGATGGGTTATCAGCTTCCCCAGTGGTCTTAGCTGGTGTGCTCTCAGAACATAAACTCCTGCTCCTTGTCTCCTCAGAATTGCACAACTTCTACCAGAAGTGGAGGCTTCCCTAGCTCTTCTTTTAGCTCGCCTTTCAGATTACATTTGTATTATGCCAACTCTGTCACTCTCAGTGCTGTGATGGAGGGGACATAGTGGAGAGGCACGGAAGTGTCAGTTTTAGGGTACTGTTTGTTTATTAGAGGTAAAGCAAGTCTCTTTATATGAGATAAAGCAAGTCTCCAGATTCGGGTGAGGAATACCATTTGCTAGGCAAGATGTGGAATTGGGAATTGGTCTGAGGTTTTTCTGTGTCATATCTACAGTTTGGTTGGGTCATTTAGTGGAAGTGGAGCCATATGAAGATAAGTTGCTGAAGAACAGAGTCCTTAGCGTTCTTGGTGAACTAGAGAAATTCAAATTGATACCAAATCCTTTGGCAGAACCGTGGCTGAAAAGAGGGGCCAGTGATTAAGAGCACTAGCTGAGGACTTGGGTTTAGTTCCCAGCATCCAGAGGGTCCAGCACCTTCTGTCCTTCCTGGGAATGGCATGTGTGTGTTTATGTGTATTGCCTGGCATCCATGGAGGGCAAAAGAGGTTATCAGATCCTGTGAAATAGGAGTTATAGAAAGTTGTTGGCCTTCACATGGGTGCTAGGAACCAAACTTGGGTCCTCTGTGAGAGTTTTTAGTTACTGAGCCATCTTTCCCATCACAAGATTTCAGACTTTGAAGAGGCATTTGCTATAAGAGGAAATCATGTTGACAACTTGAAGGGCTCAGGATGGAGCTGTTGTCCAGTAATCAAGAGGGTGGAGAGATTTAAAATAATGGCGAAGGAAGGCACAAACACCTTCAATGAAACATAAGCAAAAGAAACAGGGAACTGAGTGTTGGCAGCAGGTAAGAAGTGAGGGGTGGCTCCTGAATTCTGACCTTAGGCTCTTCAAGATGAGGGGTACAAGGAGGAGCTAGTTTGTTGGAAAGAGCAATCACGATTGCATCAGATGTGTTGATTTTGAAGCATCTGCTATGTCTACATGCAGATGTGTGGGAGGCAGTTGGCTACAAAGGTCTGGAGTTCAGCTCACATAGCTTGGAATTAAGAATTTCTCCAGCAAAACTGTAGTAGCTTTTGAGATTGTGCATTTTGTATAAGGAAATCAATAAGAGGCTTGGAGGGGAAAAGTTGACAATGTGGAATACTAGGCCCAAGCCAAGGAAGAGGCCCCTGAAAGACAGGGAGAAGGAATAGTCAGAAAGAGAGTGGGCAGACCAGGAGAGTGACAGCCTGGGGACCATGGGGGTAGGTTTCTGAAGGAAGCAGTGGTTGGGCATATACCAGGATGCCTTGGTTTAGGCAGTGCTGACAATGGAACCCAGGGCTCTGTGTATGCCAGGTAAGAGGCCTAGCAACTGAGCTGCATCCCCAGCCCTGCTTCCCTCAGCTTTGCTCAGAAAATTCTCCGGGCTCGCTCAATGCAAAGCCTCCCTTTTTCTCTTTCCCTCCCTCCTCTCCCTGTGTTTTTTTCATCTTTTTTCTCCCTCCTCCTCCCTTCCCATCCTGCTGGGGATTGAACACAAGACCTCCTGCTTATGAGGTCAGCACTCCACTACTGTGAAGTCTCATTTGTTGAATTGATGATTGGTAAATGTTCTAGGGTATTCCGAGGAATAGAACCTGACCACGTGTGCCATAATGGTACCCGAAGCTTTGGAGAAGCGGTTGTGGGGCAGTTGCCATGGTGAATGTTTCTACCAGAAGCGTATGGCTAATGTGAGCTGTGGTGGCTAAGTCCCTATCTTGACTATTGCAAACCTTGGACAGGTTATTTCCTATCTCAGGGTTAGTGTTTCCTGTTTGGAAGACAAATGGAAGACAGGCAGGAAGTGGTAGTAGCGGCCACTTCTGGGATGAGATTGTTACCACTCATAACCCTCATGCGCTGTAAATGCTATTCTGACCTGAGGCTTGGAGCGGTACTTAACTCAGACTGCTTCTCAAACACCTGCCTAAGGCAACTGTGGCTTTTCATCTTTATCCAGAGCATCTTTAAACTCCATTGTGTTGAACAGAACTAAAGGATGAGTGTGGAGCTCCAGAGTCAGCCCCAGAAAGAAATGCAGAACTGTATCACCTATGTGGGGATGGCGACGGTGGAGTCATTCTGTCCCCTTGAAGTCCTGTCACTGGAGCTGGAGAGCTGGAGAGATGGTTCAGTAGTTAACAGCACTTGCTGCCCCTGCAGAGAACTTGATGCCTGGTTCCCAGCACTCAGCACAGAGGCCCATAACTATAACTCCAGTTCATGGGGTCTGATGCCCTCTTCTAGTCTCCATATGTGGGCACACAATGTACATGGACACAAATGCTCATACATATGAAATATAATTAATCTTTGAAGTCCTGTCACCGTTTAACCTCTTCAACAGTGGGCTGTGTATCTCTTGTGACAGATGATAATTGCTATTGGACATTGTGACTTATAATTCTTATGGGAGGTGGAGGCAGGAAGATCAAGCATTAAAGTCATCCTTGGCCTCATACCAAGTTTCAGGTCAGATGGTAATTACTGTCTTCAGCTATCACTTACATTTCTTATTGAAATTTACAACTAGCCCAGGCTGGCTCAAATTTGATATCCTGTTTCAGCCTCCCCAGGTCTGAGATAATAGGCCTGGCTTTTTTTTTATTTACTAAGATAATTCAAATGTGAGTAACATTATAGTGTTACTTTTCTCCTTGCTGTGCAAAATGCTGGACAAAAGCCATTTGAGGGAGAAAGGGTATGGTCCATCGTGGTGGATAAAGCATAGCAGTAGGAGAGGGAGGAGGCTGGTCACAGAGATGGATGCTGGTGCTCAGCTCACTTTCTCCTTTTTATTCAGTCACACGCAGCCCTAGTGGGTTGGTGCCATTCACATTTAGGATGTATCACACCACCCCGGTTAATTCAGTCTAGAAACTATCTCCTAGACATGTCCAGAGGTTTGTTTCTATGATGTTGACAATCCCTATCAGTCATCACACACTGTAATCTTAGCATCTGAGACATTGAAGGATCAGGAGTTCAAGGTCATCCTTAGTTAGATAGCAAGTTCAAGACCAGCCTGTCATAAATAAAAATGAGATGCCTCAGTGGGTAAGGTATTTGCTGCCAGGCCTGAACACCGGAGTTTGATTCCTATAATCCACATGGCAGAAAGAGAAACAAATGCAAGTTATCCTCTGGCCTCCACCTGTGTGCTCTGGCATTCACACACATGCACACACACTAAATAAACGTTTAACAATTCTTTTTAAAAGAAATCTAAACAAAACAAATCTGAGCAATATATAATATTACTCTCAAAACAGAATTCTTGGCCATTTCTAGGCAGTGACTAACTAATGAAGCTGATTTTGTTTATTGTTTTCTTTAAACTGAATTAAGAAAATACTTTCTCATTTCCCAGAGAAAATTTGTGTAGCAAATATGGGGAGTTGTTTTGTATTTTTTATTTTTGAGACAGGATCTTATTTTGTAGAGCAGGCTGGCCTCTGACTCACAGAGATCTCCCTACTCTGTCTCACAAGTGCTGGCATCAGAGGTTTGTGCCACCATGCACGGCAAGTATTGTTTTTTTTAAGACGTGCTTTGAATTGTCTTACTTGTCATGTGGGCATGAATGTGCGTGTGCCTTAGTGCAGGGTGTGGGGATGAGAGAACAACTCTTGCAAATCAATTTCCTTTTGAAGACTCCAGGGATGGCGCTCCTGTCATGAGGTCTGTCTGCAGGGAATGGGTCATCCCTCAAACCTCACCTCTGCTACTGCTCCCTTAGGAAACACGGTGCCTGTGTACCCTGTAGGATGTTGGCACATGGACCACTGAGTAGAGGTCTGGTGTCTCTTTCTCTCCTTATTGTTTCTTATTAAATGGCCATGTGGCAGGGATTCTGTAGTTCTTTCCTGACAGTAACTTGATCAAGACCCAAGGTCCTTCAGGGCATGAGAGTTTTAAGCAGTTCATGTTTTTCTTTTGACAGAGCAGAGAAGCTTCAGCTGCTAAACCACAGGCCAATGACCGCTGTTGAGATCCAGCTGGTGAGTGGGGGAGGGTCTCTGGACTCAAGGGATTTCTTTGTGGGCCTGAGATACAGAAAGGCTGAGAAAGAACAAGTCAGAGACTGCACACCATCCCGTGCCGTAAGTGAAAGGAGAAACTGGACCGGAGGCCTCACCAATTGGTCCTAGTTAGTGTGGGCTTGAGAGTGGGAAGCTGGAAATTTAATTCCTTCCATGGGTTTGGCAGCCCCGTGTCCTCTGCTGTTCTAGGCCCTTCTGGCCATGGCTTGCCTGTAGGAGTTAGAGCCAACCAGATGTTGCATAAAAACATTAGATTCAGAGTGTGCCACCCCCCCCTCCAACTCCCGACTGTTCCACCTCTTTCTTCCCCATGTTGTCTTCCTCTCCTGCCCTCTGGCCAGTCTCTTAGCAGAAGCTCTCGTTCTGGCTGATGCTCAGTTGTCCCCACTTTCTGTTGCTTCCATGTCTGCTTGTTTTCTCTCCCTACACATAGCATTAACTCACCCCTTCAGTTATTTCATCCTCCCTGCTTCTCCAGCCATGCGTGATCACACCTGGCTTACAGATCACTTTCTAAAACCGTGAATGCGGTCTCGTTTCCCTGCATAAAAGTATCCAGTGCAGCCTAGGAATTTGTAAAGTCCAAATTGCAGTCACAGTGTAGGGCTTCAGCAATGGTGGATGAAGATTAGAACAGGCGTGGTCTAAGGGGGGAAGGGAAGGTCCGTGGGAGGCTCCTCTCACGTGCAGTGTGGCAGGTGCTTCCTATTACATGAGGCAGCGCATCAGTTAGCTGTGAAAGTTAAGCCGGTCCTGTCACCACCAGGCAAACTTTGGTTTTGAGAGTTAGTGAAATAGATTCTAAAGTTTGCCTGTGATCCCCCTGTTGTGGAGGCAGGAGTAGAGGATGAGAGTTTGAGGTCAGGCCAGGTCACATAATGCATTCCTGTCTTGAAAAATACATGTAATAAAAAACAAAATCAAGAACAGAAGAAGTAGACAGGTCTTTGTAAAACTTACAAAGTATGAACGACAATGACCTAAGAACCTCTATGCTCTTCAGAATTTATTTAAAACTTTTCAAAGTTTATAAAGTAGTTAATTTTTGACTAAAACTTTCATTGTCTTCCTAGAGTTGTGTCTGTCCTTCCAAATGTACCCAAAATTAAATTATAAACATTCCTTCCATTCTGGAGAGCTTCCTGGGGGCCTTGGCCTTCATGCTAAACAGAGGTCCCCATCTGTGTGTGCTCATTGTTGTAGATGTTAGACAGGTTCAGCTTACAGGACAGGGAAAGATCAAGAGATCAATCCCTGTCCCTTGGGTTAAGGATCACATGTTGGGTCTCCTCCAACTTTAATCCGCACCATATGCTGTTCGTGGCCAAGTGACAGATGGAGAGGCGAGATGAGAATTAGCATGGCCCTATCCTGAGCCTGTGGAAAGCTCCAGGCTGCTTCTTGAGAGAGCTAATACTGAGTGCTTTGACCATGCTAGACATGGTCCAAGGGCTTTCTCCAACAAGCTGAAGACCCCAAGATACCAATAGACTGAGTCAGTCCAGGTTAAAGTCCTCAGAATCAAGGCAGCTGATGTTTTAACATAGTCTGAGGCCACAGGGTTTGAGAGTTTAGGGTTACTGCTGTGTCTGAAGCCTAAAGGCCAGAGATCCTGAGCTGGGGTGTCCCAGGACACAAGTGAAATGTCCTGCTTCAGGGGAGACAGTTGGGATAAGAATGGTACTGTCATGCTGGGTGGTGGTGGCACACACCTTTAATCCCAGCACTTGGGGGCAGAGGCAGGCGGTCTCTGAGTTCCAGGACAGGCTCCAAAGAAACCCTGTCTTGGGGGTAAATGGTACTGTCTTGGCCCCAGCAACTGTGATGGTGCTCCCCTGCATTGCTAGTAGATATTCTGCACCAAGTCCCTTAGCTCACACACAGGCTTCCAGAGACACTTCACACGCGCACCCAGAACCTTCCCAGCTGACCACATATGCTTTTAGTACAGTCAAGTTGGTTCTTAGAATCACCCATTACACCTGGTGAGGTTAGCGTGGCGTTCCCTCAGGTGTTTCTTTTCTACAAACTCCTTTTTCCTGCAGCTAGACCACTTTCTAGTCAGCTTTTCTTCCCACCCCAGAATTGGCTGCAAAAGAGAGCAAGACATTTATCAGGGCTTAGAGCAGTGTCCTGTCTGCAAGAGAACGTGAAGAATGAGGGTTTCACAGAGGTTAGAAAACAAAGGACTTAATGTTTCCCTGCAGTAACTACAGCTGCGTCTTCTCCTCAGACCCAGAAAGGGGCTGCACACCCATGCTTGCTAGAATTCAGTGCCTGGGCTGGGGTGTGTTGTGGTCCTTGGGTGACTGTCCACTGACTGAGAGGCTCTGTGAGGAAGTGGGCCTGCTGTGTGACTCCAGCTTGCTCTGCTGTGGTCCATTTGAACAGCCTAGAAGCCCTCTGAAGGTGGGTCAGCGAACCCTGTGAATTCACAGGTCCTTGTCCTGCACAGCCTTTCTACTGTGCCCATTAAGCCCCAGAGCTTACTAAACAGCCCCCCAGGCCCACATTGATGCTCACTGTAGGCATTGCTTTAACTTAGTCAGAGAAAGGTGACGTTTCAGAGGCAGAGTGGACTGCTGGGCAAATAGCTGGAAGTCATGGCTGACTTGTCCAAGATGAATTCAGCATTTAATATTGGACTTTATTCCCAGGGTATCGAATTTAAGGTTCAAGTTTCAACACAGAACGATTCATATTGTACATATACTGTAACATGTAGATTAAAAGTAGTTGTATATTGTGTTTTTGGTAAAATCTTGCTTTTTTTTTTTTTTTTTTTTTTTTTTTTTTAATTTTCTTCAGCCTGTCAAATGAGATCAGAAGTAGAAGTTTTCACCTAGGTGGAGAGCAGTTTTTGTCAAGCCTTACCTCAGGAAGTATCGTGTTGTGTTTGTGCTCAGAAAGGTTCTGATTCTAAGGTGGTCCTGTGGAAGAAATGGCTCAGTGGGTAAAGTGCTTGCCCCCACAAGCTTGACAACCCCAGTTCAAATCCTCCAAACTCACATAAATCTGCTTGTGTAGTGTAAGCATCTGTTAATCCTAGGGCTCCTCTAGGGAGATGGGTAGCAGAGAGAGGAGACTCCCTGGAAACAGACCCACTATCCTGGCATGCATGAGCCAGGCAGCTGATGTTTTAATATAGTCTGGAAACAACAAAAAGTGAGCCTGACTCAAACTAGGTGGAAAGTGAGGACTGTACCCAAGGTTGTTCTCTCTTTCTCTTCTTTCTTTCTCTCTCTCTCCCTCCCTCTCTCCCTCCCCCCCCCACACAGATGAAAAACAAAGCTTTAAAATTGTTGTCAGTATTAAGGCATTTGATTTCTGATATCAGCCTTTGGCCTGTTAGGTTTGGGTCATGTGAGGAAAGCCGTGTGCTAGGGCTGGCAGCTTGCAGTGGGGAGCGGCCTCTTCTGGAGTGTTTGGCAGCCTCCAGGGATTAAGAGAGCTTTGTGTATGCAGAGATTTGTCATTTACTAAGAGGTGCCTGCCTGCTAGCACTTGAGATTTTACATTTTCATTTGCTTTTACATTGTGAACAACTTGGCCCACTGGTATTAGGGAACATTGAGCTGGAGCCTTGAATTCCTTATTTGGGCTATTCTCCTGTGCTGGGGAGGAGAGGTGAGGCAGGATGTAGTTGCCACTCACTTAATGGTCCAAGGGGAGTAGGTAAGCTTTCAGTTTCTTCCTGTGCCTGAGAACTGGGCTTGTTACCTTTAAAACCACCTTCCCTGAGGATTTAGTTCTGGTAAAGGTTTCTGTTGTTCCCAAAGTTGGTAGACTCGGAGAGCTGTTGCCCTTTTGCTAAGTGCAATACCTGGTGACTCCTGATTGGCATTGCAGCTGCCAGACCAGAGACGATGGAGGGCAACAGCCCTGGCTCTAAGGTAAAAAGGAAGGCCTCAGAGGGTCCCCTCCACCCCCACCCACCCGACTCCAGAGTTTCCATACTGCTGTACAGCATCAGTGAGAGGCTGTGTTACTGTGGAAGGGGTTGGTGCTGAGCTTAAAGACCTGGGCTCTGCTTACTGAGGTGCAGACAGAGCTGGGCCTCACATCCCTCATCTGTCATTATCTTGGCTTCAGGTTTCAGGGCTCTGGACCTGACTGCCTCCCGAAGTCAGTGTGATTGCAGCACGCGCCCTCCTATGGTAGGGCCCTTCATAGATGCTTCCGCAGGTGTTTAATTGGCCGTGTTTGCCAGTTATTCCTCAGCTCAGTTTTTCCTTTGAACTAAATAATCGGTCAGGTATTTCCCTCCAACTCCCCTTCCTCTTTGGGGGCATACTGTGTTGGGTTACTGCCATTAGTTTTGTATGTCTGATCTTAAAAAATAATGTGGTTTTTTGAGGTAAGGTCTTATGGAGTCTAGGTTGGCCTCAAACTCAATATGTAACTGAGGCTGAACTTATCTGGAATTCCTGATCATCCTGTCCCTACCTCCCAAATACTGGCAATAAAGGCCTGTGTCAACATAACTCTCTAAAAATGCATTTTTAAAGAATCAGGTTTTTTTTTATTTTTTTATTTTTTTACAACATTCCATGAAGTATGTATTGATCATATTCTTCCCCGACTCCTCTCAGATGCTTCCCATTTCCCTACCCTCCCAACTTCATGTTCTCTCTCTCTCAAAGGAAAAAAAACCCACAGCCACACAAAAATCAAAATAAAAAAAGCACCAATAAAACGAAAATTACCAAACAAAAAGCATAAAAACGGTGGAGTCTGTTTTATGTTGGGTCTCCTCCTGGGCATGGGGCCTGCCCTGGAGTGTGTGATTGATATGCCTAGTGTCAGTCACTCCACTGGAGAAAATGGATCCCTTTTCCTGCAGGTTTCGGCGATTAATAGCCTCTTGGTTAGAAGTTGGACCTTGTGTCTACCTTCCCTTCTCTGTGATGGGCTACATTTGTGCGGGTCTTGCATGTGCTGTCATCATCTCTCTGAGTTCTTATGTGTATCATCCTTGCGGTGTCTTGAAGACTCTGGCTTTGGTGTCATCAACACCTCTGGCTCTTGGAAACTTTCCACCTCCTCTTCAGCAGAGATCCCAGATCCTTGACAGGAGGGGTTTGATCTCATTTAGAGTTGAGTGCTCCAAACTCTCAATGGCTGCACACTGGAGTCCAGTTGTGGGCCTCTGTGTTAATTCCTATCTACTGCAAGAAGCAGCTGAGTGATGTACTGATCTATGGGTATAGCAATATGTCATTGGGAGTCACTTTATTGCTATATTACTTTAGCGGAGTAATCGTTGTAGGTTTCCCCCTAGGATCCATGATTGTCTGGTCAGGTTCCTGCCACTTTAGCAGTGTCACGTGGGCTCCATCTTATAGAGTGGTTCTTAAGTCCAATCAAAAGACGGTTGGTTGTTCCCATAACATTTGTTCTATTATGGTACCAGTATATCTTGCAGATAGGCTCACAGCTGGGTGGTTATTGATGACTATTTTCCTTCTCTAATAGTGTGCATAGTATCTTCTAATACCATAAATGTGAATCAGTAGGGGTGAAGCTTCTAGTTGGGTACCACCTCTGTTTCTCCATCCTTGATGAAATAAGTGAGTGATATCTTCAGCAATAGGGCCCGACTCTCAGGTTGTGGAGGGTACCCAATAGCTTTGGCAGTAGCCTGTGATTTGGGGGGCAGGATTCTTTGGGACCCTTCTGGCCAATGACTTATCAAGTTGTAATTTATTCCTGGCATGGGGAGTTTACTTAGCTGGGAATTTCTTTCATATATATATACACACACACACATATGTATATGTATGTGTGTGTATATGTATGTATGTATATACACACATTTATTTTAGGAAGCTTCTAATAGGCTTTCATGTAGATTTACGAAGTTAATTGTCCCTCCTCAGATTCCTTCTATGGTATTCCTGTCCTTTCATCCCCATTTAACCCGCCTATTCTAGTTTCTTTTTTATCTCTCTTTATTGTTTTGTTTTTGGTTTTTGAGACAGTTTGTCTACATGGCCCCTGCTGTCCTGGAACTCACTATATAGACCGGGCTGGCCTGAAACTCATAGAGATCTGCCTGCCTCTGCTTTCTGAGTGTCAGTATTAAAGGTGTGCACCACCGAGCCAGGCCCTTTATCTCTTTAGGACACTGTATTCCATTTCTCTTTCCTTGGAAGATCTAGCTCTTCCTTCCCCAGGTTACCTACTTGCTACCTAGCCTCTAAATAAAACACACATACTAAAGCTTAAAGGCTGACATGCACATATAAGAGAAAACATTCAGTGTTTGTCTTATTCAGGATGATCATTTCTAGCTGCATCCATTTATCTGCAGATTTCATTTTTCTTAACAGGGAAACAATACTACATTGTATAAGTATATCCCGTTTTCATTATCTATTCATCAATCAGTTGATGGGCATCTAAGCTATTTCCAGTTTCTCAATTCATGACTAGAGCAGCAGTGAACATGGATGAGCAGGTATCTCTATAGTAGGATGTAGAGTTTTTTGGTATATGTTCAGGAGTGCTATAGCTGGATCATGAGGTAGATTGATTTTAGCTTTTTGAGGAACTTCCACACTGATTTCCATAGTAGCTGTACCATTTTGCACTTCCATCAGCAATGGACAAGTGTTTCTCTTTCCCTGCATCCTCGCCAGCATCTGTTGTCATTTGTTTTCTTGACCTTGGGTCTTCTGACTGAGGTAAGGTGGAAGCTCAAGCAGTTTTAGTTTGGATTTCCCTGATGACTGAGAATGTTGAACAACCTGTCACTGCATAAGCCCTGCCTGGTGGTATGCACCAAATAATCTCAGCACTTTGGAGGTGACAGCTACAAAGTCAGAAATTCAAGGTTATCCTTGACTACATGGCAAGTTGGAGACCAGCTTGGGCTACTTGAGACCTCATCTAAATAAGTAAAAAAGACCTTTAGAAAATGGTTTGCTGTAAACACTCCCTACCCAAAAGTAGCCTCTAGCTATAGGAACAATTTGGCTGGAAAGAAGGTGTTCTGCGTACCTGCAGTGTGCTCTTGGGTGTATCCTGTGACATCTTTAAATCAACAATACTGCTTTTAAAGTATTTTTATGAGGACAGAGAGTTCAGAGCACTTGTTGCTCTTCCAGAGGACCCAGGTTCATTTCCCAGCACCCATGTGGCTCACAATCATCTTTAACTCCAGTTTTAAGGGATCTGATATGCTCTTTGGGTCTTAGCAAGCATCAGGCACACACGTGGTGCACATGCAGGCAAAGTGCTCATACACGTAAAAATAAAAATAAATTTAAAATCTTAAAAGATTTAGCATTTTTATTTATGCTCATGTGTGTGCCTGTGTCTTATGTGTATGCCCGTGTGTGGATGTATGTGGGTGCCTGCAGAGGCCAGAGGAGGGTGTGTGATTCCTTGGAGCTGGAGTTGCAGGTAGTTATGAGCTGCCATGTCGCTGCTGGGAACTGAACTCAGGTCCTCAGCAACAGCAGCCGTTGCTTTTAACGGCCGAGCCATCGTCTCCTCAGCTTCTCTTTTCCTCCTACTCATCAGACTCCTGTTGTGCCTTCTCTGGAGAGCAGTGGTTGTGTTAGCTTTCCTCTCACTTAAGCAAAATAGTTGAGATTATCATGAGATTATCCAAGTACACATGGTCCTGTTGCTTTAGGCCTGTGACAATGACATGCCATAAACTGCTCTCCTTGAAGAACCCAAAGGCAAATAGAAAAGGCCAGGGTCCTAGCACCCAATGTCCCGACTTTCTTCCTGTGAGCCCCACTAGTAAAGGTTCGTCCATCTCCCCGGAGTGCCACAAGCTGAGGTCCAAACCTTCCATGCACAGCCTTTGAGGGACATTTAGGATCCAAACCACAACGTGGCATGTGCTGCCTGGGTGGCTTCCTACCTGGGTATGCCGGACTAGGAGTCCAGTTCTGCTTCTTGCTAGGATTGCAGTGAGTGTTGAAAGAGATCGTGCTTATAAATTTCTAGTGTGGTTGCAGGCCTGTGCAGAGTACTCAGCAGGGGTAATGAGGACTGTTGGAGGATAGAAACTCTGTGGCACAGGCGAAGTAGCATCGAATAATGGGTGATACCACTCAAGTGACAGAGGTACTTGTGAAATTCAAAAGTTAATCTAGGGCCACATGACCCCTCAAGGGTGAATTTCTGTACATCCAACATATTAGTATGTAGATGTGAATGGAAATAGAATCATTAGAATTTCCCTTCATTTGAAGAAAGGCAAGTTGAACATGGTAGTGGCACACATCTTTATCCAGTACTCAGGAGACAGAAGCAGGCAGATTTCTGTGTGTTAGAGGCCAGCCTGATCTACACATAGTGAGTTTCAGGACAGCCAGGGCTATCTTGTCTCCAAAACAGAAAGAGCAGGGTGAGGGGAGATAAAGACAGACAGACACTCAGCTTCACAGATGAATTTTATGTGTTTGCTTTTGAGCTGGCTTCATCCTGCTGTGGATCCTAGATGAAGACCGGGTGGGCTCAGGACCAGGTCCTGGGCTGGCACTGTGAATTGCATGGTGGGCAGGCTTACTTGTACACCCCTGCCCTGACAGGCTTTCTTTCCCTTGTAGATGGTAGAAGAGAGTGAAGAGCGGCTCACGGAGGAGCAGATTGAAGCCCTTCTGCATACTGTCACTAGCATTCTGCCTGCAGGCCCAGAGGATGAACAGAGTAAAAGCAGCATCCGAGATGTGGTGATGGAGGAAGAAGACCCAGCATAGATGCACACAGCTGGCCAGGGTGTTCGTGAAGTTCCAAGTCCCAGCAGCCATTCCCTGGATGTTCACAAGACTGTTTATTTGGTTTTATTCCCCCCTCCCAATATGTCTGATCTCAGGGTTGGTTGGGAAAATCACAAAAATAAGATAAAAAGAAATCCTTGTGCCATGGGCTCCAAGAAAGGCAGAGAGCTGAAGGTGAGGGGATGTGGTGCAGCCCTCTGGGGTAGAAAGACTAATGTGGCCTGCGCCATGTGGTGGCAGGCGCTTTGATGGCTGTGTTGTATGTGATGGCTGCAGCTGCTAGCGGAGAGGAGCTATTGGAATGGGCTCCCAAAGCTGCACACATCTGCTCCAGGGGAATGACCTGGAGCTTAGCTCCTCTAGAGGAATGTCCTCAGCAGAAGCAGGAGGTGAGAAAAGAAGATTAAGAGCAACCTCCAGTTTGAGCCAAGCCTGAATTACATAACATAGTAGGGAACCACATATGAACATACCTAACATGCATACATGCCACACCCATACAAAAATTTAGTCCATTTTCTGTTGCTAAAAATAATTCTATAGCCTTGGTAAGGCACAAGGAAAAGAGACTTATTTTGGCTTGTGGTTCTGGTTGAAGTTAAAGGGCGTCTGAGTATGGTCCTCTTGGGTAGCATAGGCTACCGCCTGATGAAAAGTGAGACACACTTGTTTATTTTAAGTCTCTTATAGCCCAAATTGACCTTGAACTCAGTATGTAGCCCGCTCTGTCATCAGACTTTTGATAATTCTGTCTCAGCCTCCTGAGTGCTGGAAGTGAAAGTGTATGCCACTCACTTGAGAGGCAGAGGCCAGCCTGATCCACATAGCAAGTTCTAGCCAGCCAGAGCTACACAGTGAGACCCTGTCTCATAAAAACAAGAAGAAAAAGGAAAAAGAAAAAAAAAAAAAAAACAAAAAAAACAAAAAACAACCAAACAAAGCTGTGTGCCACCATACCTGGTGTGTGTGTGTGTGTGTGTGTGTGTGTGTGTGTGTGTGTGTGTGTGTGTGTGTGTGTGTGTGTGTTGGGGGGGAGATTAGTTTGTTTTGCTTTTTTGAGACCTTTTTTCATATTTAATAGGAATTTAGTGGGGTAACTATGTAATGGGGAGCTAGTTTCTCCCTAGACACCATAGTCTATCAAATAAAATGTACAGTGCTAGATATAGGTAATCTTTTTTGAGTCCCATAGGTCCCCTCCCCAAAAAAATTATAGGACATTGCCACGGCTCTTGGTTACTAATCAAAACTCAGTGGTATGATCCTTTTGCTAAAGGCACTCTATACTTGGGTGACAAGTCATAAAGCAACCCATTTGGTACTAACCTGGAAACTTCATCCCATTAGTTGAGGGTGTTCTTCCTCCGGAAGTACCAGGTAACTTCAGATGCAGAGATGCCAGTGCCTTCTTTCATCCTCTCTCTCAGTCTTTCTCTTAGGTACTGGTTAAAAAAAATTAATACTGTATGCCAACCTCAGAGGGTGGCTGGAAGCAGACAGTTGTATATTCACTGTCACGTTTAGTTTTTTCTTGGTCTTATTTCCTGCATCTAGGAAAGCATGGAATGTGTCTCTTCTTCAGAGTTATTAAGTAGTGATTCTTCTGCAGGAACATTACCTGCAGTTCTTCCCGAAAACCCACAAGTTATCTTTGTTTCTTTTTTGATGGGGCTGTCGCCTTGTGTATACTTACGTCCAGTCAACATATTGTCACTCCTGTCCTCGGGAGGAAGTCCGGGAGGCAAAGATGCTCTATCAAGTATCTTCATTGCTGGGCCTACAGACACATTCTGTATGGGTTTTTGTCCTTTGGAAGTATGAGGAAGTATGAGGACAAACATTGACTTCCGATCTTCTTAGGAGTTTCCAACCCTATACTCTTCTGGCCAGCTTGATCCGATGTAAGAACCATGATGAAGTTTGATCAAGAAACAGATACTTTCTTGTCCACAGAGATATATTCTCTGTTGTTTAATTTCATTTCTGGGCCTTTAGGTGTTTCTTGGGAACAAAGTTACTGTCCCTGTCCTGTGTTGCAGGCCCAGGAACATAAAAAAAGCCTAGTGAAGACTTCTGTTTGGTATTGCTAGTTTGTTTTGATTTTTTTTTTTTTTTTTTTTTTTTTTTTTTTTTTTTTGAGCTGGGATTTTGTAGACCAGGCTGCTCTTAAACTCAGAGTTCCACTTGCCTCTGCCTCCCAAGTACTGGAATTAAAAGGGTGTACCACCACCTCCTGGCTTTGTTTTGTGTTTTGAGACAGGGTGTCAATGTGTTGCTCTAGCTGGCCTCAAATTCATGGAGATCTACCTCTGAAAGAGGGAACAGCACACCTCTCTCTGGGTGTGCATTTGAGAGTGTTTCTAGAGATAGATCATGAAGACTGAGCTAGGCTTAATAATCCCTTGAGGGACTAGAAGGATTTTTTGGAGCCTGGTAGAAATTCCCATTTCTGGTTGGAGGAGGAAGTAGGTCACAAGGAACATCTAAGGAACACATCACAAACTGTGTTGGCCTGGCCTCTTCCTGTCATTTCTCCTCTTTGCTTCATATTTGTTATCTGCATTTCAACCGCCATGATGTTGACCTCACAATAGGTCAAGAAACACACACAACCCAGCAACTACACATTAACCCCTCTGAAACCTTGAGCCACAATAGATTAACCTTCCCTTAAACTGCTCTAGTCAAGCTTTGGTTACAAAAGGTCTGTAATGTGGTGATTCACATACATTGTCCCCGAGTCACAGATTGGGACCCTGGAGCTGACAGAGAAAAAAAACATGGGCCTGAGGAAACAGCTGGCAGAAATAGGGTGTGCGTACCCCAGGACTATCTGCTCCAATCATAGACCCCACAGACTGGGCTATCAAACCTACTAATCAAGCTTGGTCCGCCCATCCTCCTTCTCTTTTCTTTTTTCTTTTTCTTTTTTTCTTTTTTTATTTTTATTAACTGAGAGTTAAACCTAGCATCTCAGCCATACCAGATAAGTGTTCTGCCACTGAGCCATGGCCCTGGAAACAATGGGGATGGGTCCTAGGTAAAGCTCATCTGCTGAGCCACACTTCTGGCTCCTCACTGGAGGATTCTAGCCACTCTCCCACTGACTGACAATCCCCAGTCCTTCCCGGATGGATTCTAGGCAAGTTGTACTGCTGAACTGCATCCCTTGCCCTCTCTTTGAGACAGGCTCATGATCCTCTTGCTCCAGCCCCCAAGTAAGCTGTTGTCTAAGGCTGTATCACTATACTTGGTTGAGCAATCCCTTTATGATTTTTCTTCTTGGGTTCCTGAGCAAACAGACGAAAGGGGTTGTTTTAGTTTTGGGTTTGTTTGTTGTTTTGGGAGATAGAGGTTTCTCTTTGTAGCCCTGGCTGTCCTGGAACTTGCTCTGTAGATCAGGCTGTCCTCAAACTCACTAAGATCTGCCTGCCTCTGCTGCCCAAGCTGGGATTAAAGGCGTGCGCTGCCACCACTGGCTAGTTAGGATTTCTGTTGCTGTGACCAAACACCATGACCAAAAGCATCTTATACTTCCAGACTGTGACTGAGGAAGTCAGGCAGGAACCGATCAGAGGCCATGGAGGAACACTGCAAAAATGGGCTGGGCCCGCCCATTTCAATTACTAATTAAGGAAATGTAGACTTTCACACAGGCATATTTTATGGAGGTATTTTCTCAGTTGAGGGTCCCTCTTCTACGTGTATATTGAGTTGACAAAATTAGCCAGCACAGGGGCAGGGCAGGCAATCTTAGGGCTGGAGGCTGTGAACTCCTAGGTAGTTATATTCTTTAGTCTGTAGTCAGTGCCTGGATAGAGCTAGAGCTACTCCTGCTTCAAGCTTCATTAGTCACCCACATATCTTTAGTGTTCTGTGTCAGAGTTGGGTTGGGAATTGTGTTCACAGAATCAGGAGCTCCAAATTGTCCTTTTGCAGGGCAGGATGGAGGGACCTAGAAACCTGGGAGATTTGGGGTTAAATATTCCAGTTTTTCCCCAATGAGGGCCTCAGAGGGGAGGACCCAAGCATGCATAGGCAGGGTGGGGTCCTGGGGCAAGGAGCCCACATCCTGAGTCATAGGGGAGCCTGGGAGTCAGCACCAGGGCAAGGCCCTCAATGCCAGAACTACTGAAGGAAAGCCAGAGGCTGACCTGGCATGGTGGAGGTCAGCAGCTGTAGGCAAGATCACAGGGGAGCTGCAGTTAAGCTTGGGCCCAAGGCAAGGTCTCAAGGACTGGGATGGGGGAGGCTGACAGGTCTGCAGATCCCCAGACCTGCTGGCTTGTTCTCAGGGTGGACAATGGCCTAAGCCTGGTGGATTGATTAAGTGCTGGAAGTGCCCAAAACAAGGAAGATTAGCCAAGAGTGGGTGATGCTGGGAGGGAGCACCAGCTAGGGGTGTGCCAGGCTGGGAGGGAGGCATCAGAGATGTCACTCGGGCTTCACAGAATGTGTTCAGCCCTTCAGCTATGGTGAAGCACTTTCTAACAGACCCCTCAAGCCCAGACTCACCTAACTACATGAGGGTTCAGCTTCTCTGCAGTCTCCTCAGTGGGGGATGCTGGATGCTACAGTTCGTGTATGGTTTCTCTGTTGACCCCTACCTCCTCTTTGGAAGAACACTGCCTTCTTCAAGAACCTTACTCCAGACACTTTGTATTTCATGACATTTTGTTTTCCTTTTAAAATATATGGAAACAAATTTATAGAATGTGGCAAAAATAAAAGCAGGTGATTAAAAATAAATGCACGTTTTCCTCGTGTGTATGTGTGCAAGTGCTTGCAAGAGTGTGCAGTAATTGATGTACGCATGTGTGCAAGTGGAAGTCAGAGGACAAACCTTGTTTTTTGTCACATTGTCTCACTGGTCCAGAGCTTACTGCTTAGTCTACTGTCCAGTCTGCCTCTGAAGTTCTGGGGTTACAAATGCATATCACCACATCTGCCTCTTTTTTGACTTTGTAAATTACATTTATTTATTATGTGTGTGGGGATGTCATGGTGTGTATTTGATGATCAGAAGGTCACCCATACCTGAACAGTAGTTTGAGAATAGTCTTGTCTACACAAGACTCTAGCTAAAAAGAAAAAAGGGAAAATTCACTAAATTGTTTTGGTTTTCAAATTGCCT